TTATCTAATAATCTAACAAGATGTTATTAAAAAATAGACACTTTTGTAAACAAAAAAAAATGTTACAAGGTGTTCTTTTTTAAATTTTCTCAAAAATTGAGAAAAGAATAAGAATGCAAAACAAGAAAAAATAAATTATTTTTAGTAATCTAGAATAAAACCCAAATGTAAAAAAACTACAAAGCAAATAAAAGAAATGTTTGTTTAGTTTGGCCAATTATAAAGATGATCTAACAATGTTATTCCAACGTTTTTCTATTAATTTTTTCAAAAATTGAAATAAGAAAAAGAACGTGAAACAAGAGAAATTGAATTTTTATTTTTGGTACAACTCAAATGTAAGAAGAAAATGAGAATCAAGCATGCTAAAGTCTCATTTCAATAATTTCAATAATAAATAAATTTTATAACTAAACAAAATTGTATTATTCTTTTTATTTGTCTAATAATCTAATAAGATGTTATTATAAAAATAGGCAATTTTGTAAAAATTTGTTACAAGGTGTTCTTTTTCAAATTTTTATCAAAAATTGAGATAAGAGTAAAAACCCAAAACAAGAGAAAATGAATTATATTTGGTAGTGTAGAATAAAACTGAAATGTAGAAAAACTACAAAGCAAACAAAGGATATGTTTGTTTAGTTTGGCCAATTCTAAAGATGAACTAAACCATTTTATTCCAACGTAAGAAAAAGAATCTAAGCAAGAGAAAATCAGAATTAGGCATGCTAAAGTCCAGTTTCATTAATTGTCATAATTGTCTCGTATGTCATAATTAAACTAAAAGTCAATTAATATAGATTTTTGACAAAGCTACACACATTTTATTTATTCTTAAAAAAATGCATTTTAAAGCTAAAGTGTATGGAATATGTAAAATCATAAATACGACCAGAAAAAGTACAAGATGTAAAAAAAACTTTAAAAAAACAGAGTTGTGTTTGTACAATTTCATCAATTCTGTCAAGACATTTAACTTACAAACACAATTTAGGCCAAATTGCCTATTTTGTCTCACAAACTGCGAATTCTTTCTCAAATTTTCAAATAAAAAATACTAGCAAATTTATGTTTTTTCTGTATAATTTATAATTTTAATCCTTAACTCTGTGCCTAGCTACTCCCTGAAATACTTTACAAGTGTATAGTTCCACTTGCTAAAATTATGTTTGACGTCGTATTAGAGCAAAACTTGCAGCAGTTCACTAATCTTATTTCCGGAAGTTTCTAAGTGAGTTTATGTAAAACTTTGCTTTTTGTAACGGACCACGAAACTTCCCTTCTCCAAAAAATTACGTTACTTCCTTTACGGAATACATTAGGAGTCTGAAATTGTCACTACACTTCCTGTTTACACTGAAACCCAAGCAAACATTCCTTGGAAAAATATGTTTCTTGTATCGAATTGGAAAAGTTCCACATTTCCTTTGCCAGAAAGCTGTTGGAAGAAGCAAACAATTCGATGTTTATTCCAGGTGAAGTCCAGACGAGCATGTATCCTGGAAGGATAATAGTGACCGAACCAAAGGGCAATGTCCAGCCCAGGATAAGCGTGGACAAGTACAACGCCCGACGCGTAGTCCTGGGCGAGGACGTCACCTTGCCCTGCGTCGCGCAAGGACATCCGGTTCCTGGATACTACTGGAAAAGGGAACTGCAAGGACAAAGCGTACCTGTTGCTCTAGGGGAGAGACTGACCATTCTATCGGCGGGATTACTGAGGATATCCAAGGTGGGTTAAAAATTAATTCCCCTCATACATAAAGAAATTGAGGTTTCAAACCGATATCCTTTGAAATAAATCGGGTTTACAATTTTTTTTGTGAAAAAATGTGAAACGAAATAAATTTAATGAGGAGGAGGAGAAAAGAAAAGAGGAGTCAATTTGTAGTAGCGTAATCTTTGAATCTTTATGATTATCGTTCAATTTAAAATGTTTAGTAGTTAGGAAGAAGAATATTGTAAAGATCGTTAACTAAACTGCTTCCTTTATTGGCAATTCGAGACGCGGTATTAAGGAGTTTATGCCAAAAAGCGAAGCTTTAAAGTCAGAGAGACAACAAAGTTTAGAAGAATCTTAGGTAAATTCCATTTTTATAACTCGAAACTGGTGAACTGAAACATGACAGTCTTGAACCTCCTCATTTCCCTTTTATAACTAAAAAATCGAGATGGAATCCAGATAATGAAAAAAATCCATCAGAAAGCAGTTCTCTCGTTTCTGTAATTTCAAAACTCATCTGCTTGATTGATCTCATCCCCTCGGTCATTACTACAATATGAAAATGAGTTAGTTTTAGATAATTCGTCGGATAAAAGGCGCAAAACTTGTCAAGAGAGTTTCAGCTTATGAAAATTTTTATTTTCAAAATCTTAGAAAAGCGACTACAGAATTAAGGAAAAATAGAAATCAAGGTTAAATTTTGCAAACTACAATCATGGAACTTCATATTTTAAATAATTTCGCGATTTACGTATGAATCTAGATTTCTGAAACTCTAAGAGAGGTTCTTCAAAAAGTTTTGGTTTTTGAAAATTTTATTAAAGTTTAAATCCTAAAAACTATTAAAATTACAATTTTAGAATCACTACGTTTTCAAAAATGTGATAATATGTAAAAACTCAGAATTTAAACAAAAACGTTATAAATTACAAAAATGTTAAATTTAGAAAAAAAAGTTCAATTTTTCAAATAAAATTTGTGTTCAGCTAACAAAAACTCTACGTGAAAAAATTTCTAATTAATGTTCTAATTGAAATGAAGATGCAATTGGGTCGACTCATACAAATATGAGTGAAAAATATTTGAAAATAAAAATTTTTAACAAAATAAAAATGAATTTTTAATTTAAAAGAATTTATGGAAATTGAGGTCTTAGATAACTCTAGAATCATAAAGTATTAAATTAGTTTTAAAATTTATAGAATTTGAAATAACTGTTTGWGAAATCAAAACTTTTAAGAGAGTTTTAGCTTTTGAAAATTTTTACTCTCAAAATGTTAAAAAAATTAATTCAATAAAAACTAAAGATCATTAGGTGTAATTACAAAACGATTAAATTCAGAATTTTACAAATCTAAAATAGACTTTCATATTTTAGGAATTCGGAAATTTTGGGCATAAATATTTACATGATTTAGGTAAAGTAAAGTTCTAAAACTCTACAAAAAATTCTTGAAAATGTTTTAACTTTTGGAATTTTTGAATCTAACGACCGATAACTGTCACAACATTTTAGAAGCAAAAAAGGGATATAGGTATTTAAAAAATAGAAACTTAAATTTTAAACAGAAACGTTAAAAATTACAAAAACGTTAAATTCAGAATTCTGTAAACCTTGAATTTAAAATTTACGTTAAAAAGAAAGTCCAGCTAACAATAAATCTACGTGACAAAAATTCTAATAAATGTTTCATTTAAAATGAATTTGCAATTGGGTTGACTCATACAAATACGACTAAAAAAATATTTGAAAATGAATATTTTGGACAAAATTGATCAAAAAATAAATTTTTAATTTAGAAGAATTTATGGAAGTTGAGATTTTAGATAACTCTAGAAGCATAAAGTATTAAATTAGTTTTAAAATTTATAGAATTTTAAAAAATTATTTGAAAAACCAAAACTCTTGAAGAGGGTTTTAGCTTTTGAAAATTAAATTAAAAAATTGACATAAAAATAAATTCAATAAAAACTACAGATCAGAAGCTGTAATTACAAAAAGATTGAATTCAGAATTTTACAAATCAAAAATAGTAGAATTTCATATTTTAAGAATTCGGAAGTTTTGGACATAAATATTTACATTTGATTTAGGTAAAGTTCTTAAACTCTACAAAAAATTCTTCAAAAAGTTTTAACTTTTGGAATTTTTGAATTCTAAAAACCCCGAAATGTCACAACATTTTAGAAGCATAAAAGGGATATATTTAGAAATTACAAACTCAAAATTTAAACAGAAACGTTGAAAATTACAAAAACACTGAATTCAGAATTCTGTAAACCCTGAAATTAGAACTTGAACGAATTTGAATTTGAATTTGTCACATAACATTTTAGAAGCAAAAAAGGGATATTATTATTTAACTTAAAATTTAAAAAAAAAAACGTTAAAAATTACAAAAACTCTGAGTTCAGAATTCTGTAAACCTTGAATTTAGAATTAAAGCGTTTAAAAATTTTAGAATTTGTAGAATTCAGTTTTCCAATAAAATTTGTTTTCACCTAACAAAAGAAATAATGTACGTGAAAATTTTYCTATAAATGCTCTAATGGACATGAAAATGCAATCGGATTTCATACAAATAT